CAAAAGGGGGACCCTTTGAGTCGGCAGGGGTCAAATACACATTTATATATACATCAATTCATCAATTTATACATCTAGGCTCCAACACTATATAACTAAATTCCACATTCAACCGGTGATCTGATCACCCAGGCGAGCAATTCACAACGTCAAAAAGTAGATATCAAGACAAACTCCAGTCTGAATGAATATACATTGCGCGGCATTCACTATTCGCTTATGTACTCTCACTAATATCTCGCCATTTCCTTCGGGCTATTGGTATAACTTAATGATTTTGCTTAATAACGTTGTAGCTTGTCTCACTAAAACTGTGATTTCTTTTTACCTAAGTTTGTTCAACACTGATTTTTAACAATTGCTTCTGGTTCAGCTATAGGGGTTCGAAAATTCTTAATAAGGCCAATTTGGAGCAATTATCGCTCGATTTATTGGGTTCTTACAACACGCGTGAGCGGATAACTAATTTGTTCCAAATTGAATTGAGACTCGTCATTTGGTGCCGGTATCAGAATAGGACGAGGGTCAATATATCTTTTTGTATTTTACATTAACACGTGGAGGTTAAATTGAAGAAAAACATGTAAATAAAAAGTATTTCCTTGTTCAGTTATTCAATTTATTATATCAGTTTTTCAAACGGAATATTTCTAATTGGCCTTGAAGTGCAATTGGGACATTTAGGGATTTGACGCCTCCCCTCAATTTGCTAGTATTTTATTTTATTTATCTTATTAAACTAATCAAAAAGTTTTATGAACAATCGCAGAGTGTAGCAGTTTTTATGGTGACTTCCAAAATATTAAAGTTTCATAATGGCGTAATTTTCAATGAAAATCTAAATATATTCCTATCATTTAAAACTCTTTTCATCAGGAAAAAAGTATTTAATTTATCTTTCCCAAATACATTTTGAGGAACACTTCAGCTGAAAAAAGTGCTCGTTGCAAGCTAATTTTTAAAAGCTAATGCGTTTGAAAAGATTTGCGGAATTTATCAATTCAATTAGTGCTTTGCTTTCATGCCATTTACAAGAATTCCTTTTTCTACCATTTATCACTTATGTTATTTTAGAACAGCCATTATTACTTTGTTTTATATCACTCCAAAAAGATATGAGTGCTTTTCAATTATATAGATGACTTTTTGGATAAGCTAATTTTGATCTGCTGCCAAAAACTCAACGGTATCAAAAAAAATTCTGCTATCAACATAATTAGTTTGACCCATATCCCAACTGTTATTGACTAATGTATTGATCTATACTTGGGCCGGTTGACTTATAATTTGACCTTGCACGACCCTGATTGACTCAAATAGAAAACGAGTGGCTAAACTAGTTGGCTGAAATGCATCATGATGCCAAACTGTGCACTGGATAGGCGCACAATTTGGTATGTGTAGGTCTCTGTGTCCCAGAGACAAGTCTTTGAACATGTCCATATTTTTTCGGAACGAAGAAAAACGAAAGAACAGAAAAATATCATGACTGCTCGTATCAGGGCAAAGCCCAAAAATTCCTGACTGCGTTTTAATTTCTATGAAGTAACTTAAAATAATATAATTCATGAAATATTCAAAAAACATATAGCAATTTTTTAAGTAGACCAAAGAGCATGCACGGAATATATCGCGTGTTAATTGTTACAAGTTGGCTATATTGCCAAACTTTTAACCCCCATAACTTAACGAAAAATTATCACTCTCGAGGTATTCTTTTGAATTTGTGTTCAAGACAAGAATACGTTCCGAATAATATAAAAGTTCGGTCAAAAACTGCTAGTTCAAACGTCAAACTTTGTCTGAAGAAAAAACCACACGAGAACAAATACTCTGTCGCTTTGTTTGAGAGTTGGAAAAAAAGATCGTCCTTGTTGCAGAATCCGCTCAAATTTCACAAAATACAAAAATTCGCCACGTAATGTTCAAAATTGATTTTAACAATTTGGGTCAAAAAGTAAAAATTGATTTAATATAACAAATTTTAACACCTTTTTAATTGATGCTTTCTTCTTGACTAAATTATAAAACTTAGTGAACGGGTTCTCAAAGCAACTTTTTTCAGGTAATATTTATTCTCACTTTTATTGGTATTTGTCATTTTCGTAACTTTTTAATGCCAAAACTTTAGGTACGACCTTAGATTATCATTGAGCAAATCAAACAAAAAGCCTTAATTGAGAATTGACCAAATTGAGTGTTCAAATTTTTTCTATGTTTTTTTGAACATATTCTTTCAAAATTGCAAGAAACTGAAATAAAAATTTTCATTGCCTAAAAAAATTTCTTTAATGGTAAACATTGATCTCTTACTCAGCATGGTTATTCGTTAAAATTCAAAACAATAATTTATTCTCTTTCTCAAATGAGAGTATACATCCAAGAAGACTGCTCGTAGTTCAAATTTAAAAAAATTTCAGTGAAAACTAAAAAAAAAGATAATCTTTCCAGTTCTTTTTTCAAAAAACAAAATGATATATTTCGCATTTTGCATAGCATTAGATATACCAAAGAGCATGCCTGATTTCAATTTGGAACTATTCTAAGACGATATAAACATCCGCTCACGCGTTAAAAGCACGAAATATATAACGCGTTAATCACACCAAAAACACAAATTTGCAATTTTCAAAACCCCCATAACCTTTGTTAAAATGATCACAGTAAAATTTCTATTTTTGTAAGTTTGAGTTCAGGACAACAATAATTTTGAGTAGATAAAAACTATTTTTTATAAAAAGTGCTAGTTTGAAAATCATTTTTTTCTCTGGAGAAAAAACTACACGGCCACAATTTTTTTGCGGTAGTTTTCTCCGAAAATTGTCGAAGCAATCAATTGTGCTTCTCAGATGGCAATTCTAGTGCACTCTAAACTGTGCAATTATCAGATGGCAATTCTAGTGCACTCTAAACTGTTAAATCGTATGTCGTATCAGTGTATGAACCTTTACACTCGTGTTTAAATAGGCTAATACCAAATCGATTTTACAAAAAAATTAATTGATCTTCTAGTAAACTTAATTTTTTTCCATGATGTTCTTACATAGGTTGCCATAGGGGGATTTTCATTAAAAATAGATCGAAAATAAATCTTAAACCTAAATTTTATAGTTTTATAAGTTAACCTGCTGATTTGCGTTCTGATTTAGTTCCGAATTAAAACTGGTTTTCTGAAGAAACAGTCTTCGATGGTTGATTTCAAACTAGTTTGGGACGGTGAAGTCTCCGTAAAAACGGTTTTTACGTTTCTCGTGCAAAAAGCTAGGCATACGATGTTTTTACCGCAACACTTGTATGATAAGGTTTTTGCATCACTGCAATTAAAAATTTCAGGTAGAATTTTCATATTTGTAAAAAAGCTGAATTTTTTTAAATTGCAAAATCAATTCATTACTTGAGCATTTTTTGTTATTTTTTAGTCTATAACATAGTCTAGATTCCCGTTTTTCACAAAGGGAAACAAAAAGCACAATAGTGTTTTTATATGGACTCAGAAAAAAAATACGTTTTTACATGATAAAATAATTCGAGGGTCAGTCAGAAAAACAAGCGACAATTTTCATCCACTAAATTTGTTAAAACAAAATTATATTCTAGCCAGATTCAAAATGTTACTTTTTCAAAATGTTACGATTTGTTACACAATCTTAGATAGCAAGTCTTCGACTGCTGTTTATCAGTGAGATTTTTACCACTTAGTCTGTATATTTTCCTATTTGGGAAAACTCTTGAGTAATGTGTTTTCGAACAAAAAATATAAAAAGCGAAACTCGAAGTGTTTATTGTTCCGAATTTCGAAGAAAATGACGGAATACTTGAAAAATCTCAAAAAAGATACTTATTTTTTTTCTGAAAAACTCATCAATTGTTGTAAAGCGAACACTGCTTCATAGAACTTATAAGAGAGCCGGACCATTCAGGGCTTCGCCCTGATACAAGCAGTCTTGTTAGTTTTTGTGTCATGGAGTTTTTTGGTCTGCAAAAAGTGCTTGTCATACATCTTCAGAAACTGTGGGAAATGTTAATCCTAAAGTAGTTATCATACAAATTGCTAGACGCAGGGGCGGATCTTGGATTTTCTCGAGGGGGGGGGGGGGTGCAGATTTTCAAAAAAATTTTCGAAAATTTTGACGACCGTTTTTTTAGGTCGTTAGGTCGACCAAACTGATTTTGAGCTCTCTTAAAGCACTAAAAAGATGCTGTTTTGGCCAAATTTTCTGCGCCGCAAACAAATTTCTGCGCCGTTTTTGGGCACTTTTTGGAAAATTTTGACAAAAAAAATGCGTTTTTTTTGGCGCGCGCTCCCCCTCAAAGTTATTATATATTGGCACCGAAGGCGCGTTTATAACAATTTTAGCCCCCTCCCCTAGATCCGCCCCTGGCTAGAAGTATGAACTGTATAGACTATAATATGAAACTTTTATGCCCAACTTTTGTTTTCAATCCAAGCTCTTGGACACATTTTTTTTCAAATTCCAACTATTTTTTCTAACACTGAGATTATAAACAACTGTTTTGTTTTCATTTAAAAAAAGTTTTGGTTTAAAATAAGTTGTTTTTTTGCTTGAGAAAAGTACGACCTATTCAATGTGAATCATTTTCTGTGAGTCTATGAACTAGGCAATTCGAAATGTTTCGACATAATTATTTCGAGTATTCCTTGCATTGATTGTTTAGTTGATTAGATTAATTTGTTCATGCTTCAATAGTGGGTTGGCTTATTCGATCCGGGTCCCTTTCAATAATGCCCTTACTTCAGTTAGTGTGCATAATTCGATCTACAAATTTTACCAAATAAAAAGATCTTGACGTCAATTCTAATCTGTTATTTTCTACTTCTAATCTGTAGTTTTTAAATCTTCGCGTTAACATAGAGAAATTTTCATCATTATTGAGACAATACTTGAAAAGATTATTTTGCTTCTAATTTATGATTACATTCTCTCACTAAAATCTAATTAACTTATAAAGCCCGCAAGTTCGAATTAATGCAAAAGAGGGGAGGAGATTCGTTACTAGGTTTTATTCTCATATGCTTAACCGTTGACTTATGCCTTTAGAGGGGGATATTCGTTACTAGGTACTCGAGGTGAGGAGGATATAGTTACAGACATCCCTTATGTTTTTAAAAGGTTTTAATTTGGGGAAATTGTTCCCCCAAAAGCCAATCGTGATTTAGATACCTATTTATGCAAAACAAGGTGAAATATCTAGCACTCAATTAGTAGACAGTTTATTCACCAGTTATTACTAGTTATTTGGTTAGACTGATTTTCATTCGATTTAAGGGTAAGCAAAGGGCCAGTACAACAGTGCCGAAGTACAACAGTGCCAAAAACTTATTACTGTTCAACAGTGCCGAATGTTATTCAGAATACTCTTTTTACTCGGGGACCGGCCTATTGTCTATTAGCATATTGTCATGAGGACTGTTAGCATGCCCTAACAAAGTAGTTGAGTCGATTAAGCGTTCAAGATTTGATTATTGAAGAAACTTTTTTTCTGAACAATTCTCAAGCATTTATCTCGGTTTTGTCTCGAAACAAAGCAGTAGTCACAAAAAAGCAAATAGTTCACAAACGAATTGAAAACTTGTAAAATATCATCAAGTTTTTGCCGTGTTGAACGCATTTTTAGTTTCGGCACTGGAGTTTGTACTCGTTGAAAGCACCTGCAAACAAATAGTTAAGCAATTGATTGCCCTAATTTTTTTTGCTGCTGGATATTCAATTTCCCGACAAAAGCTTCTTATTTGTATGGTGCTAGGCATTTTAGCAGACCGGTTTTTTAGCAGATCAATCTTTCAGCGGACTCAGAACAATTAGCAAGCCAAAACGCTAACTTTAAACGCGGCATTGGCGATTAGCGACCGCTTGATCCGCTGGGCTTCCATTCGGCACGAGTGTTTTTGTGCACATGAATTTTGTTTTGCTGCTATTTTAGACTTGTGATTTTGAAGTTAAAAAGTGTTTTTTTTTAACAATTCGTGAGATAACTGTCTTAATTAGGGAAGCTTGGCCCAAGACTGAGCGCCTTTTTGAGTCTGCCAATCAATCATGTATCAGTTGTTACAACGTTGGTCCGCTAAAAGACTCATTTTCCACATTGAATGCTAAAAAGATTGGTATGCTAAACGATCGGCCCCCTGTTTTTATGCTGTTTTTATGCCCTGTTTTTAGGTTTTGTCTATTATTCTTTTTATTCTTGAGCAGACGATTTCAGTTAGTTAGAACATTAAAAATATGCTAATCCATGTTGGAAATTGCGGGTCTGCATGGCTATAACCCCCACTAAACCATGAAAATTGAAAACGAATCTCTGAACACAAATTCGAATAGGTATTACTAAAAAATGCAAGATAATATTATGGAACTTGTCAGAACGAAGCAGTTTACCTAATTTATTCTCTCAGTGGCTTTTCTCACTGTTTTTGCGGTTTTCTCCGCAAAATTTTTTACAAATCATTGACCAAATGCGCTTTAGTTGCCATTTCAATAAAAATTTTTGCAATTTTCAACTTGATTTAAAGCTCGTTATAATTTTTCTGCAATTCTCAGCTAAAACGATTCAATTTTTTAATAATAAAATTCGCTTTCATTTTTTACATTTGGAGGGTATAACCAAAAAAACCCATCATTTCCTATGTGAAACAGTTTGATTTTTCTATCTGGCCCTTTTTTGTGCTCAACAATGTCGAAAAAATTTTCAAAGTTGTTGAAAAAATAAAGAACAGATAATTCAAAACTTTTCATAAAAAATATTCAATTTTCAATTTTTAAATTCACATCGCCACTGAAAAACTGCTTTTTTTCTCCAAACGGTCTCTTCTCATCATTTTAATGGTTGTTGGTATGTCTCCATTGTGACTATGAACCAATTTCAAATCAATTTTCGTTCATAGTTGATGTTTTTTTAGTTTTCGTGCTAAAACTAACAACTTCGACTGAAATTAACAATTTTTTGTAAATTTTTAATTATTGATTCAGATGTTCTATCACTCAAGTGTGTTACTTTTATTTACAAAGTGATTAATTATGAAATCAGAGCACTGAAAACGAATTCAAAATTTATGCTGCTGAAGTTCAAAGTTGTTTAGCACTTTGTGCTACCCCAAAAATTTAAATTGTCGAGCAAGTTTTTTTTTCTCATTTTTCTTGTTTTTTTTTCGCCTCGAAAATTTATAAGGTTACCGAAACGTGGCCGAAAAAATATTATCAAATCTTTAGTTCGTTCTTTTTACCTAAAAATTGTAGGCGGGCTAATAAAAAACAAGACTGCTCGTATCTAGTCAAGGCCATGAAAATTCCGATTGCCATTCAATTGGTCTCGAATAGTTTTGTGCTAAATTAAAATTTGGCAAAATTATGAATTTTAGACTGATAATCAACATATGAGGCAGGCATGGAAATGATAAAACCAGATAGTTGTCTCAGTTCAAATTGGAGCAACTTCGTAATGCGGGATAACTCGCCACGTGTAATGTATAAAACGAGCAATTTCAGCAGTCTTCCAAAGGCGCCCTTAGAAACATTTCTGAGTTTTAGGGTACCCTTTGGTTGTTGATGTCGTCAACTCCTCAAAGGAAAGGGGGCGTACGCCACCCGCTTTTCCCTACCCCCTAAAATTGTCCCTGACTATATTTGTACTCACTGTGCGCAGATCAATTTTTTGAATCCGAACTTTCATTTTCCGAAAAAAAAATTGATTTGATTTGATTTGATTTGAATTGATTGAAAATTTTTTCCATAGAGAATCACCTAAAAGCTGTTTTTTAGCTCATTCCCTTACCACTCCAGGTTTTTTGTGTTACGGGCTATAAAACAAAAACCCCAAATTGCTTAAGCCAGATGAAAAATTATGAAAGCAAAAACTAAATTTGATCTTCACACTCACCTTTGCGGTTAATTATTATTGATTTCTTGCATTCGGTTGGAAATAAATGGATGGCAACAATTCAAATTAAATACAGAAAAACCGATTTTGAATCAACCTCAAATAAATGCAAATTTTGTTTCAACAAGATGCAAATTGCATTTGCGATTTAGCCAGAATATTCAAACATAATTGCGACGTACATTATAAATGCAAACAATTCAAAAAAAATGCGGAGACTAGAAGAGGTAAGAGGTCAAGTGGATTCAGGGAGAGAAGCCCCTAGCCCTTCAAGATTTTATCCCACTTGTTCTATTTTACCTCATCTATTTTTAGACTAGCAGCTCTGAAGGTTCTCAGGCGCAAAATAGAAACTTTTTTTAGAACCAAGCGCGCGACAAAAGTTTCAATTTTAGGTAGAAACCGTCTAAAACAGCCCGAATATTGTTTTTGAGCATTCTTTTTTAAAAATTTTCCTGCATTTGTGTAAATCTTTGTCAGATTTGGATCTGTATACTTTTTTATTCTTTAGATAATGTAAAGAGTTTTCATCTCTACGTCAGTAAACTATTGAAGCGTGTAGTTGGAAAATGATCTGCTTCTGCACAATAAATTGAGCAGAGAGAAAGCTTTTTTCCCGGTTTAAAAATAATAGTTTTTTGTCTGAGCGTAAAATTGATGTTTTTTTCTTACAATGTCTTTAGCTTAATGGCCCGCTTAAGCTGAATTATCAAAAAAAACAATCAAATTGACACACTCAACACAATTAGAGATTTAAAAATACTTTTTTCCCGAAAATGTCACTAATTGAATTTAAAAACTAATTCAAAATTATAAATCAGACCTTTTGAGAATTTGACCATGTGGGAGTTTTTTTTGTTACCGGGCAAAAAACCCTAGCTAAACCATAGCTCGTTCTCTTTGCACAATGGAGTAACAAACCATTAAGGATGACACAAAGAAACATTTGGACACTACTCGTAGATCATCCAATGGCTGGTTGCGTAGACCATCCAATGACTCGTCCGCTTCTATATATATTTATATACTTAAATTCCTGAAAATAATTATAGTTAAACTGACAAGCTCAAACATAATTGATCTGCGAAAGTGCCTGGCTTAGTTCACTTTTGAACAACTTTTGATCGACTTTTTTGGACTTTAATGCGTTTTTTGAATCTGAACTTTCTTTTTCCGAAAAAAATTGATTTGATTTGATTTGATTCGATTTGATTCAATTTGATTTGAATTGGTTGAAGTTTTTTTTCCATGGACAATCACCTAAAAGCAGTTTCTTTTTAGCTCATTCCATTACCTTTCTAGGTTTTTCTGTGTTACGGGGGTAGAGGCTATTAAATGCTGAGGGAGCCATAATACAAAATTTCCAAATTGCCTAAGCCAGAACAAAATTTATGCGAGCAAAATAAAATGTAATCTTCTCACGACACGTCTTTGCAATTAATTTTTGCAAAGGTGACTTTGATGATTTGCATTGAGAGTGACCAAAATTGATTAGCAGTAGTTCAATTTTATCTGTAAAAATTTTGTTTCAACAAGTTGCAAATTGTCTATGCAAATTAGCACAAAACATTCAAATATAAATGCGACGTACAATATGAAAGCAAAACATTCAAAATAAAAAATGCGGAAAAACAGAAGAGTTAATTGGATTTAGGGAGATAATTGACGCCCGCCTCTTCTTTTTCAACGATTTATCCCTTTTGTTCTATTTTACGTCATCTATTCTTAGTTTAGTCTAACAGCACCGAAAGTTCTCGGGCACAATATGAAAAACAAACATAGAGTCGAGCGACTGCCCAAAAATATGAAGATTAGGTAGACATTGTCTTAAAAAACGTTAACTTTGTTTTGGGCCGTTTTTTCATCATTTAAGCTGCAGCCAATAAATTTTTGTCAGATTGGATCTCTACTGGAACCTGATCTAAACTACATTTTATGATTGGATAAATTAGATATTTTACCACTGTAAAGTATTTAATATTAACCAATCATGATCCATCTAACTAACAACCCACTTATTTGTAAGTGCTGAAATTACTTGTAATTTCAGCACCAGAGAGATTTGAATTTAACTTAGAAATTAGCTGCCTCTCCAAGAGAACTTCAGCAGCCGCAATAAACCAGTATACCCTAGATCTATTTAGCCTAGCAGAGACTAGTTAAACAACCTGAGACTAGAATAGTATAAGAGTAAGA